ATTTGATGTTCAATTGAGTGTGCATCATTTATGGATCATTTGCATTATCTGCACCAGTATGGGACGGTGGCATATTGGGGATGGATTAGATAAAAACGCTAATTCCTACCTATTCATACATACGGAATGGATTAACTAAAACAGTTAAATCCTACATAGATGCATGTCCTGTCAACTAAAATAGTTGAACGACATAACAGATATTTGCTTTATTTTTCTGTATTAGGAAAGATTTATATATATCATTATGGTACCGTGATATGAGTTTGAGTCTCCTGATGACGGTTAGGGTGCGTATATTGCCTTGGATGGATAACTGGACCTAATGACGTTCCTTGGTAGGTCTAGGTATGCATGACTACGCTACGTGCATTTTGCGTGTTACCTTCTACTTAGGTGTGATGACTATAGGTTAGTGAGCGTCCTATAGTGTGTATCTATATCTATATGGACTATTTTAGATATTGCCAAGTTATTTAGGATGTATTTGCGTATCGGGTTTATGTTTAGATTGTAGTAGGATGGAACTTGCATATGGGCCTGACCCACTCTTATTTTTTAGGTGATCGTCAGTACCAGGCTTAGAGCTTGATCGTGATGATGCAGATACAGACACTCACTCTTCTGACTACGTAGGATTTTCTTTCTTATTCTAGTTTTGGATTTTGATTCTGTAAATTTATTTATCATTTGGGATTATTAAGGGTCCACTAGATGGATTCCTGAGTTGTACGGATTTGAAGGTTTAAATTTTACTAAACTTTTACAAAATGAGGACTTTTACATTTAGAATTCTTTTCAGCTTTTTATTTTATTTTCTTTTAATTCTTTTGTATTCTGTTTGTTTACATATTAATTGTCTGGTATCCCTCGGATATGTACTCAGACTTGATCACCCGTGGCTCTAGAATCGAGGGGTGTCACACCAAATATACGAATGAGATGTAATGTCATGCCAATGTCACTCCCCGTTTTCCAAAATAATTCCTTCATGCTGTTCCAAACCGTTAATGCAATCAGGCTCATAGCACCTCTATGGCGCCACGAGGAAAGGATTGGCTAGCTTTCCCCGACCACATGACACCTCCATGGCGTCGTCTGGCCTAGGTAGCTCAACCTCTTTCTAGATCACAATAACACCCCGGACCACTAGGTGCCTCCTAGGCGTCCGATTTTCACAAACCTTTCATCAAAAATCATTTCCCAAAAACAATTTCATTTGTTTTAAAATACTTTCCCCCTTTTCTTTCCCAATGAATGCATGAATGCTTCATGTGTCTCAATGACGTAATATCATGCAAATCAACTCTAACAACTATTACAAGCTTATCAAGATAATTCTCATGGAAGAACAACATGCATATAAATAATCAAATTTTATCCATTAAATATAAGAATTTAAAACACAACCATTTAAGCATGATTCTCTATTCATTTTAACAACTATCTACTCATAAATCATTTTAACATAGAAACCCACATGGATATATAAATTTAATATACAACACTAAAAAAATTTCTCCAAAGAATAATCACATTCAAACATGTTGTACATTAATTATAGGAAAATGAATCACAAGAACCAAAAATTGAGTGAATTAGAACACCCCTACCTCAAATATTGAAGAAAACCCCAATTTTAGCCCAATTTTTGGAATCCAATGGGTGGCCAATTGAAAATCAGCTCCGATCAAATCAAAACCCACGATGAGCTAGACAACTTTGCCTTTTATGGCAAGATCAAATTCACAAAGACGGAGAAAGGATCAAAGCTTGAAATGCCAGGTTTTTAGAGAGAGAACAGATGCACACACAAAGAGATTACGGTCTGGAGAAGGAAAAAGAAAAAAAAAATGCAAAATGTGATAAGTTTGGTGTATATAAAATGTAAAAGTCTCTTGTGGGGCCCACCGCACTTACTTTTCCTTCTTTCCTTTTCTTTTTCTCTTTTTCTTTTCTTTCTTTTTCCTTCTTCTCTCTCTCGACTTGCAACCACCTGCTATCTTCTTTATTTGATTCACTACATACATACATACATACATACATACATATATATATATATGTATGTATGTATCATTTTTTTTTCTAGTTGGGACTCACACACACTGCCTCCACTGAGGTTCGAATCCCTGACCTCCCTTTGAAAAATAGGAGCCTTATACTGTTAAGCCACAGGCCTGTTGGTTATATATATATAAATATGTCATAAACATTACAAAAGTAATATAAGAGAAGCACAATTATCAATCACCAAAGCTAAACCACTTAGTTACAAGTCCTAATTTTTTACGATTTTGAAGGAGTTGTTTGGATCCAATTTCTGACAAAAAAGGTGTCATTGTCTAAAAATAGGGTAACTTGTAAATGTCGATCCTTATACCAAATCTCAAGAGGTGTCATTGTACTTTAACTTCTTTTTTTTCTTTTTTCTTTTTGTAACACTTTAATGAATGAAGTTTACTGTGAATGTAATTTGGATCACATCTTTTAAAATACTCGTATAACATAATTTACATGGCCATGATGCTCTCTTTTCTTATTTAATCAAAACTTGCATTGATTTTCACTTGTATAATATATTTTTCAACAGATTTCACCATCTTTAATTGCTAAAAAATTCGACGTTAATAAAATTATATTATAAATAAATATATTCTTATCTTTTTATTTTAAATCAATGTTGAATTACACTGGTATATATAACTCTTGAGTTCAAAAAGAAAAAGAAAAAAAACCAAAATCATTATTCTTGGAATAAATTTGTTTAACATAGAAGGTCAATGTAATTTTGGATAAACTAGGGCATTTAGTTTTGTAAAATTTTAATATATTTATCTATAAAATTATACTATTGCTCCTTCTAAAATATAAGTAATGAATAAATAAATATTTTCACATATTTGTCCTAAAATATAAGTAATGAATATCAGTTATAAAGAAAGAATAAATAAATATGTTATATTATATTAATAAACAAAAATAAATTACATCCTTATAGAAAGGGTAATGGCTTTTGTATTTTTAATTCAAATGCCTTTTCTCAATACAATATATATAAATATTTATTGGAACATTATGTGTAATATCAACGTGTGCCTTGCCGGTTTGATAAGATAGAAAAATGCCAATATTATTGAAGAACTCCTCGGAGCTTGGCCGGTTTGACAGGACCGAATCGGCCCGTTAAGATTGAAAAATGAAAATATTAATCGGCAGAGTGTTGGTAAACTCTAATTGGCTGCATCATTTCACAGATTCTAAGGTTTATTTAACTGCCGCCTCTCTGTCAGATCATTATGGTATGGCTGTACACTTGAATTTTGTGAGTTCAATGGGGCCAAAACCATTTAAGTTCCTCAAAATGTGGTGTATGCAAGCTAAGGTTAAGGAGGTTGTTGCTATAGCATGAAAAATTGGTGTTTCTGGAAATCCTTTACATGTTCTTCAGAAAAAACTCAGAGAGGTAAAGAAAACTGTTAGAGAATGGAATAGAAAGAGAAGGGTGCTTTCAGAGCAAGTTCAAATGGCTAGGGAAAAATTGATTAGAGTACAGATGGACCTACTAAAGGAACCATTTAACTCAAGTTTCATAAATCAAGAGAGGCCAGTGGTGAACTTCAACAGCAGTTGGAACTTGAAGAAATCTTGTGGGCACAGAAGGTTAGAGTTAAGTGGTTTAAAGAGAGGGATAAATGCGCTGATTTGGTCAAATAGAGAAGGTCTAATAATGCTATCACAACCTTGGAGAACACCACAAGGGAGGTTTCTAATGATCCTCAAGTAATGAAGGATTTGTTAGTCAAATTTTATATTGATCTTTATAATGATGTTGGTGGGGTAACGGGGGAAATATTGGAGCCCAGAAGAAAGCTATCTCAAGTTGAAGGCAATTATCTTGATATAAATGTCACTGCAGCGGAAATTAAAGATGTGGTTATGTATTTTTAGTCCAGACAAAGCTCCGGGTCCTGATGGTTTCCCAGCTAGGTTCTTTCAAAAGTACTGGGAGATTGTGGGACAAGAGGTGGTGAATGGAGTTCTTCATTTTTTCCATACAAGTACCTTACCCAAAGGAGTCAACTCCACATTCCTTACACTTATACCTAAGAACAATCATGGAAACAAGATAGCTTATTATAGACCTATAGCCCTGTGTAACATCATCTACAAGATCATTTCCAAAATTTTGGCTAACAGGTTGAGTTATGTTCTTCCAAAGTTGATTGTTCCTGAGCAGTCGGCGTTTATTAAAAATAGGAGATTGCATGACAATTTTTGGTTGGTCTCTGATTGAGTTAAAGAATTTGGAAGAAGAAAGGTGATCCATCTGTCGCATTTAAGATAGACCTGAAAAAGGCTTATGACTCAGTGGATTGGGGTTTTTTACAAAAAGTTTTACTAAGTTTTGGTTTCAGTGAGAAGTAGATTAGCTAGATTATGGAGTGTACGTCCAAAGCTACCTTTTCTATATTATGTAATGGAACGCCTACAGGGTATTTTTCAGCTTCAAAAGGACTCAGACAATGTTATCCTTTGTCCCTACTTCTATTTGCTTTTGTCACTGAGTATTTCTCCTCTCTTATTGTTAAAGCAATTGAGGATGGTAAGATAAAGAAGTGTAAAGCTGTTACCAAGACAGGGTTGACTATTTCCCATGCTTTTTATGCAGATGGCCTGTTAATTGTGGTAAAGGCTGATGTGGGTACCATTAAAGGGGTTGAAGAAGTGTTACAGAAGTTCAAAGTGTCACGCCCCAAATTCCATCACTCAGGCCGCGAAGAAAAAAAAAATTAAAAAAAAAAATAATAATAATAATAATAGATAATAGATAATTAAATAAATAATTAATTAATTATATTCACTTGAGTAAATAAATAATTAATTGGAGAAAACCGGTGTCATTCACCACATAAATAATAATAATAATAATAGTTTCATAAAATAAATAATAGCATGATTAATTAACCATTTATATTAGACTATCCAAATGAAACCACATGTACACAACTTAAACAATAATTGTTCAATCCCACTATATAAGTCATGGCCACCATGGCCTCATTACAATCCATAAGGTGAGAAATAATGTTAAGGGATTACATGAGTAAAGATAAGAGAGGAAATTCCATAAGAACTTCAAAAGATAGATGGGTGAGTCCCTACGTCATTTCCCTCCTCCAAAAGAATATTACAAACATGTCATCAAATATAATATCCAAAATACATCATGTGTCAAAATACAAGTCCAAAAGTAAGCTACACAATGGATGTCACAATTATCACAAGTAGCTCAAAAATGTTGTCAAGATTCCAATCAAGCTAGGGATGAGAAACCTCCTCTTAGGCAATGCCATTTCCTGAAAAATATAAGAATCAACGGGGTGAGCAACGAATTGCTCCGTAGGAATGTCTCATGAGTATAAACTAGGTTTCTCAAAATTCTACAAACATTGCATTGTCATACAATACAAGGAACATGTTCCCTAACGTCTAGTCTCAAGGGGAACCTAAATAGGATCATCCTAGTCTAACATAAATAATATTAATTCATTCATCAAGACAAACATAAATAATATAGTGTAATGTACATAAATTCACAAGTTGCAATAACACATAAATGCCAACTTGAAAATAAAGTTGAAATCAATTAACGGGATAACTCGGAACACACCCACACTCCCGATCACATAGCCATGCTATGTGCCTAAATAAAAATAGTCATTTTCGGATTACTAGTCCGCCGGAAACTAACCGATTGGCCAATATAAAGTGGGGAAACTCATGTTTCACCCGCGAGCACCGAACCCCCGCATTCTCAAAGTAACAACTCCCGAGTATCTCCCAAAATCAACAAACAAGTCCACAAAATAATCCATATACCATGATATGCCCAAATTGCATTTCACATGCGCACATAAATTATACTAATCACACAATCCATGTCCTATGGTCCAAAATCACTATAATGGCATACTATTTGATGCAATGTCAACAAATTGGGTATTTTAAAGTCATTTAAATTCATGTTATCATTATATCAAATTTCAAGTGTGTAAAAGTTTAACATCATCATAGAAATATACATCTTCAAAATTAACCTTCACAAAATAACAAATACATGATAATTCCATGAATAAACACAACATGTAAGGCACTTTAATTACAAGAAATTGTACACATTAAGATTTAGCACTTTAATAAACATCCATAATATCAACAATGGGACAAATAACATATTAAACATGAAAATTGATATAAAAACTCAATAAAACATTATGGACATGCAATTAAATCATTATATAAGCTCTCTAATTAAACCCACACACACAAGTGTATGCATAACTCACACAATGGTCATAAAATTCCAAGAACTCCTAGGTTATAAGCATAATACACCCCTACCTCAAGCTAGGAGCAAACCCTAGCTACTCCAAAGGAAAAATGTGCTCCAAATCCGAAATTAATTGAGGGGTTTTGTTCCTCTCGTAGTCCCCGTCAATTTTCCTTCTATGCAAGCTCAAAATCTCAAAGGTTGGAGGTAAAATGGTGGAGAAATGGTTGAAGTAAAATGAAAAATAAAAGAATGGGAGAGAGAAGAGAGTGTGTCGGTGAAGTAGGAGAATGAGAGGATTTTTGACTTTTATTCCACTTTCTCTCTCTATACAAACACACATATACATATCACACACATTCCCATCCACACATATCTTACCCACTAATCAACCTAGGCCCCACAACATAAAAAAATGCAATTAAAAATAAATAAATAAATAAATAATAAAAAATAAAAATAAAAATAAGACTTGGTCATCACACAAAGCCATGGCTAGACTGCAGGTAATTAAATAAGGATAAAAGCTCTATCATATTTTCAAAAGTTGTTAAAGGAAGAAGAAGATTAGCTAGTATTCTTCAATTTCAAGTGGAATCCTTCCCTTTCAGGTATCTTGGCTTACCTCTTTCTTATAATTTACTGAAGAGTGGTGATTATAGAATGTTGTTAGATAAAGTGGATGCTAGATTGGGACACTGGAACACAATAAATCTTTCATTGGCTGGGAGAGTAGAGTTGATCAAGTCAGTTTTGTTTTCATATTTGTATCAATGGTTGTTTGGGTTCAAAATTCCTTGGGAAGTAAAGAATACGTTGGAAAGAAAGTTTAAGAAGTTTTTGTGGAGTGGCAAACAAGACATAAAGAAGATGTTTCAGTTAAAGTGGAGTAAAGTCACTTTACCAGCAAGGGAAGGAGGTCTTAATATAAGGAGAATCAAGGATATTGATTGTGCCGCAAAGATTAATTTGTGTTGGGACTTGGTTCAGAAAAAGGATAAACTTTAGATTGAATGGTTGCAAGTTGTTTATTTGAGTAAAACTAATTTCTTGTTGGTGATCCCAAAAGTAACTGACTCTGCAGTTTGGAAACATGTGTTGGGGGTGAGAGATCTGATTCTTGATAATATTATATTTCAGGTTAGGGATGGAAATAAGTTTAAGCTTCTTACAGACCCTTGGTGTAATGAAAAATCACTGATTCAATTGTATGGAGCTGCTAGATTTAGGGGGATTGATAGACAAACTTGTTTATCTTCTATTAATGATCATGGTATTTGGAGTTTCATGGATAATTTGGATTTCATTCATCATGATTTACAGCAAGTGATTATTCATGAGGGAACAGATCAGATCAAATGGAAACATGGTCAATTCAACTTGAAAGCAGCTTGGAATAGTTGCAGGTCTTCGGCTCAAAATGTAAAATGGGCAGGTCTAGTTTGGAAGAAATGCAGACCAAGAGTTACCCTCTGTGGTGATCATTTTACATAACAAAAACTTGTCATTTGTGAACTTACAGAAGAGAGATTTACAGTTAACCTCTGTTTGTCATAACTGTTTTGCTGGAGAAGACACAAATGATCATTTGTTTGCTTCATGTGGATTTGCCTCAAGTGTATGGAGAGGGATTTTTGATATTTTACGAATGCAGTGCCCAAGGTTTCTGTATTTTAATCAGGTGGTGGATAGGTTTTGTCAGCAGACTGCCAATAAATCAACTAAGTCCAGTATCTTAAGTGGACTATTTGCAATGTCAATATGGAAAATATGGTCTATCAGAAATGCAATGTTGCATAATGGGATCCAAGAACAATGTAATCAGGTTGTGCTGGCTATTATTTGGATGTAATTTCATATCTCAATATTAACCTTGCAGATTTGTTGATTGTTTTTGGAGTGGAGGTTGCCAACTGATAGATAATTTGCTGGGTTTGTGGTTTTGTTTATAGAATTGCAGTTTGTGATTTTATTTACAAAATTGTTTTGGGGTGGTTTTGTAAGGGAGCTATGTTGTAATGTCTTGTGTTTTCTTTATATATATATACATGTAATTATGGTATGTATATATATTTGTGTGTGTGGTGAGAATTTAAGACAAAAGAAAAAAATAAAATAAAAATAAAAAAGAGCAAAGAAAGGGAAAAAGGGTGGGACCCACGCCCCTTTTAAGTGGTTGTAAGACCACATTTGGCCTTGGTTTTTCCATCTGCTCTCTCTCTCTCTCCCGGCTTTGTCTCGCTGCTTCTCTTTTCTTTCTTTTTTTCTTCTACTCAAATTAAGCTTGATTAATCCCTCATCTCTTAGTCTTTTTAACAGCCATTTGTGGCTATTCAAAGCCCACGACGAGATCAACACGTTGATAGGAGCAATTCCTTGATATGTGCACTATAGGAGATTCGAAATTCTAGGTTTTGAGGTGAAGAAATTAGGGGTTTTGCATATAATTGAGGTAGGGGTCTCTAACTCACATTTTCTTGTTCCTTTGTGGGTTAATTTCTAGCAATTGTTATTAATTTGTCTAATTGATGGTAATTACCCTAGCATGATTTTTTTTTATGTGTAAAGTTAATTTCTAGTAATTATTATTAATTTGTCTAATTGATGGTAATTACCCTAGCATGATTGTTTTTTTGTAAAGTTCATGATTTTATATTTACATGTTGATTTGTATGAAAATCATGTTTAAATGTTGCTTTACTATGTCTATAAAGTTGTAAATTGTGCTAGAAATGATGTATGAATTCTTGTATGATTTTCTTTGAAATTTTAGCAAAGGATGACTAATTGTGTTATATGAAAATTTTCTTTTTTCCATAGTAATGTAGGTATGAGACATATATGCATGTCATGGGGCAAAAGAAAGGGTAAAGTGATTTGAAGTGGATAAGAATGGGTTTTTGGGAAAAATATTTTGAGAAAAAGATTTTGTGAAAAACCCGGCCGCCTGGGAGTTGCCTAGGGACCGTGGCGTTAGTGAGACTTAGAGGGGACTAGGAAAATCGTCCTAGTGTGGTTGAGTTACCTGGGCCTCAAATGATGCCATGGAGTTGCCATAGGTCAAGGACAGTGACCGATCCTGCTCTTGTGCAGCCATGGTGACGGATTCACTAACGGTTTGAAAATGATAATGGAAATGGTTTTAGAAAATGGGGAGTAGCATTGCATCACATGGCATATCATTGCATGGCATATTCATTTGTGGTATCGGATTAATGATGTGGCATGGTGGTTATATTTTTTCTCGATATGGTATGATCCCAATTTCTTTATTCCTATTCATGGTGTGAATTCACGAGGCCACAAGAGGTGTGTTTTAGGCACCACCTACTAAGCAATTTTGCTCACCCTATTATTTAACATTTTTCAGGAAACGGGAAAGAAGTGGCGGATGACGTACCACCACAGGCTTAATTTGGATTAGAAGATTATTTTGCTATTTTTGTATCTAAGTCCTATATTTTTTTAAAACCTTATTTTTTTATATTTAGTATAGAGATTTGTGAACTCTTGCTATTATAGTTATATTTATGGACTTTAATTATGATAATTTGGATTAAATGGTATGTGGATGTTCCACCATGAGATGAATCATGTTGAGGCATAATGAACAGGTGAATGGGATGCTGGATATATTATTTGTATTGTGTGTTGGGACAGGTTGGATAGGTCTTGAAAGACCATTGCAACTTTTTTTTATTTGAGCAGGTTGTGGTAGGCCCCTTTTTAGGGAAGGTCATGTCGAATTTTTTTTTATATAAATGGGATCAGCTTAGGGTCGTTACAAATTTGGTATCAGAGTCTTGGTTCGAAAACCATTAGGACAACGGGTAGAGGCCTACATAGAGGTTGCATGGGAAGTCATTCGCATAGTTTATGTGATTAATTGGTAAAATGTTTTGCTATGTGCAAAAGTATGCTTAACTGTTTACTTGTTTACATGCTTACGTGCTTATATGCTTATATTAATGTATTCATTGCCTAGTATTGCATGCTAAGTGTTAGTATAACATTCTTTTATGTTTAGTTGTTCACAGTTCATTTGTGGTATCGGATTAATGATGTGGCATGGTGGTTATATTTTTTCTCGACATGGTATGATCCCAATTTCTTTATTCCTATTCATGGTGTGAATTCAAGGGGCCACAAGAGGTGTGTTTTAGGCACCACCTACTGAGCAATTTTGCTCACCCTATTATTTAAAATTTTTCAGGAAACGGGAAAGAAGTGACGGATGACGTACCACCACAAGCTTAATTTGGATTAGAAGATTATTTTGCTATTTTTGTATCTAAGTCCCATATTTTTGTAAAACCTTATTTTGTCATATTTAGTATAGAGATTTGTGAACTCTTGCTATTATAGTTATATTCATGAACTTTAATTATGATAATTTGGATTAAATGGTATATGGATGTTCCACCATTAGATGAATCATGTTGAGGCATAATGAACTGATGAATGGGATGCTGGGATATATTATTTGTATTGTGTGTTGGGACAGATTGGATAGGTCTTGAAAGACCATTGCATCTTTTTTTTATTTGAGCAGGTTGTGGTAGGCCCCTTTTTAGGGGAGGTCATGTCGAATCTTTTTTTTTTTAAATGGGATCAGCTTAGGGTCATTACATATGTGTTGACAGATCAAATTTGATAGAAGTTGTTTTTAGTTTTTGAAATCCCATATGAAGGCTTGAAGATTGTGAATCTTTAGAGTTACCTGATGAGGTGGTTCTAGTTGGCATGAAGTTTCATGGAGTATGTTTTTCTGGAATTTAGTTATGTAGTGCTCTGTGTTGTTTTCAGTTGCTAGATTTTCTTAGCCTAAGGAGGATAATCTAGTTTTGGTGGAAAATGAGCTTGTTCACTTTTTGCTTTGTATTGGAGTTCATCCTCCTGTTGTAATTGTATTATCTTGAAAAATATTTATAAAAAAATAAAAATAAAAATAAAAAATAACCATTCAGGATACGGGCCTTTTCCTTTTAATGAATTGATTTACCAAAAAAAAAAACTATTAATACGGGCCTTTTCCTCGTAAAAAATAGACCTTTTGTTACAATAGAAGCAGAAGTGATGTAAATTATGCAAGAATCAAAGTCGATTTGCTTTATAAAAATACGATATCAATGAACTTATAAAAAACAGTTTCACGGGATGCACCTCAAAAACCTTGTCCGATTAAGCACCACCATAAGACCTATTTGAAGCCTCATTAAATGAAGTATCATAAGTAAAAAAAATTGTAATTTATGGAACCCGTTACATTATCATATTATCTTGGGACAACGGTAATAAATTAAATTGACAAGCATGAAAGAATAAATTTGAATATAAAAACAATCACTTTATGCAAAATAATTACAGATACAAATTCTAAATTTTATCTCAACACTCCCTCCCACTTCCCGTTAATTAGCATTTCTTCCCAGCCGCTAGTGATACATTTACTAAGTAAATGTCCAATAATTTAATGATGAAGATGGTGATGCTGAGATAATGTTGGGACCAATTGACATGGTGTGTGATCGATAACGATGAATAATTCTTCTAATCCGGGACAGATGTCTTAATCAACAGCCATGCATACACATATAGTAGCATAGAAAACAAAATCCTTGGTTGAAGTATGGTTCTTCATAACCACAAGAATTTCTGAACTCATGTATACATACATACATATATATAAAGCATGTTTCTTCATAACCACGAAAAGAATTTCTACATACACACACACACACATACATAACATATTCTAACAACTGAGCTCTCCAACCAAAACAAGAGAAGTTTCTCTCAATATGGCTAGTAGGTGTGGAGGATAAATGGTTGTCTACCACTCAAAATTCCACAACACTAGAATAAAATACCCACAAATAGCAATTTGACACATGGCTAATAGGTCTTGGAACAATAATTCATTATATATACCTCTTAAATAAACAATTATGTGGAAATGAGTGTCCTTAACATTATTTCAGAAATACCCATACAAACGTTCAATCAGCAATATGTACCACTTACTTAAGGTGCATAGGCAGCAACAATAGGACTTCTCACCATACGAGTCCCGTTAACATCATTCCAGCTTAAATACCCATAATTCACTAGGGAATCACTCTGTGGATTAGCATCTTCAACAGTCACTTTTATCGTTATACTGAACTCGGCTTTGCTGTACTTTCCAGCAAAGGATACCACCAGGGGCTGCACAACCACTTCCATCCCTGACGGAACCTTCACCACTGCACGATAAGTAGAGGAACTATCTACAACATTTGTTAATGCCCGGTTAAAGGTGTAACTCATAGTGTTGGTGTCGTTGAGGATAACAATTAAAGATGGATAATTAAGGTCAAGACTGGCTTGATCACAGCTGAAATTCGACCTTTTGGTGATGATCTTAATCTGTTTGCTCGTGTAGTTCATTCCACACAAGTAATTGATATAATCCTGAACCTCTATATCATAAACAAGACCAGGATCCATGGCCTTTTCAGGGTTAATATGTCCTGCCCCATAATCAAGTGGAGTCCCAGCAACTCCAGTGGTCATGTCAATGACGGGGCCATTGGCGTTATCAATCACATAAGCGGTAGTCATCATGGCTGATCGGATGGCAGCTGGGCTCCAGTCCTTGTGGAGCGTTTTTAGAAGCGCCGCTACACCAACTGCATGGGGAGAAGCCATAGAAGTGCCAGAGAGGAGTTTAAAATCGCTAAGCAAATAGTCATCTCCTATAGGTGCAGCTCCTCTATTGGGTACCCATGCAGCTAAAATATCAACCCCAGGAGCTAAAATATCAGGCTTTAGTATCCATGGAGACATGCGATCTGGCCCTCGTGATGAGAACCACGCCACAATAGGGGCAGGCTTGGTACCCAACACTGTTATCTTGAACTTGATGCTAACAGTTGCATTCTCCGTCTTGATTAGGTAGTCTTTGATCAAATCTCCGTGTTTTTGGGTTACTGCCACATATGGCAAATTGAAATCGCGTGGCCGAAGAAAGTTTTGGAAGGCAGTACTAAAGATTGCACCAGCAGCTCCTGACCTTTCTATTTCAAACATATTGACTGCTGCACTTTCATTGATGAAGTCACAAAATACAAACTTCCCTGCAACATCTTTTGGGTCAAGAGCATAGTCTTCGCAGAGTTCTTTGCTTCTATTCCCTTGGCCAAAGTATATTGGATCACGAGACACTAACAAGTCTAATGGGTAGACAGATTTTCCACTAACAGTGAGGACCTCATCACCAAGCGTCACCTTAGCTGCATAATCGCGATCGATTGTCCCAGCACCAACAGTTGTGATCCAAGGAGCTCCATTGAGTATAGTGAAACCATCAGGACCACTGTTGCCAGCTGAACAAACAACAAAAATCCCTTTCTCCATGGCTGCAAAAGCTCCCACTGCAATAGTGTTTTCATCAAAAGGCGTCTCTCTGAATCCCAATGATAATGACATGAGATCTACTCCATCAGCTATGGCTTGGTCCATGCCGGCTAAAGTGTCAGTGGCAAAAGACTTGAAGGTGCTGTTGAGGAATCCAACCTTGTACATGGCAAGCCGGGCTTTTGGTGCAACCCCAGTTGCTGTTCCTTCTGCATAACCAAAGTAATTGGCACCTTGTACTGGGCTCCCCGCAGCAGTTGACGATGTGTGAGTCCCATGTCCTAAGAAGTCCCTCGGAGAGTCGTAGTCATCAGTTCTTGATATGTTTAGCCCTTGTTGCTTCATCCCTTTACTGAAAGAGCGAGCTCCAATGAGTTTTTTTGTTACAATAAGAAGAGTTGAATTTAACTCCCGACTCACATGTCCCGCGCCATCTCTCTGGCACCGGGGTCATGCCAACATCTCTGAAACTCTCACTTTCTGGCCAGATGCCACTGTCGATTATACCAATAATCATGTCATCACCAAAATTGGCTTGAGTCCACAAGCCAGCACTCTTTTTCAGGCCAAGAAACTCTGGTGTATGTGTAGTGTGAAGCTTTCCAGAGGTCTCAGGCAAGGTTGTTAAAATCGGGATTCTAGGCAGAATCGTTTTGGGCTCCGTAGAATCGGAATCGTAGAATCGGATCGTGAATCGTAAGATTCTACCAAATTGTGAAAAACAATTGAAACGAACTTCTTAAACAATAAGATCTGTAAAATATAACAAAAATGAGGTCAAAACACACAATATTACATATCCATGAGTTCACAAATCTCAAATCCTAACAATATTTCAAAGTCCGAATATAAATAAAAGAGAATTTAACTCAAAATAACATGAATTTACAAATCTCAAATCTTAACCCATCCATCTCCAAAGTTAGAAAATAAAATTACATATCAAAAGTAAACCTTTTTTTTTTTTTTTTTTTTTTTAACTCTATGCAAATTTTTTTTTTCGAAAACTAAAGAAATAAAAAGACCTTTTTGTCTACCAATCCAAGTGTTACGGTGTATGTGACTTTATTAGTCACAAGTATGAAATTAATCAAGAGTTAGCACAACAAAATATGAACCACGCGTTAACTTGATCTCATTATATTATCAGTTTAGACTACAAGATTATACATTGGCTGGCATATTCGGCAAGTCTTTTAAGCTTTTAAATTACTTTTAATTTTTAATATATATGATAAGCCTTCAAAAAAAATTAGTCAAATGAAACCAAAATTTGCCTAAACCTGTTAGTCACGAGTATGCATCCTTGAGATATAATTGATCATTTTAATTTTTTATAATTAAACACAAAAATATATTATGAAACATCAACATGCATGGTAAAAATAATTGATATATATACATATATATATTTCTTTTTCTGCCACTAATGAAAAATAATTTATATTTTATAGAATAAATATTTAACTTTGTATACTACACTTGGGCCAGGCCTCTTTTATTTTGTAGCCCAGAAGAAACCAACCAAAAAATAAAAGAAAGCCCAAAAATAAAGGCCCAAACAACCAATTTCGTAGAATCGGTAGAATCGTGTAGAATCGTACGATTCTACCTCCGATTCTACGATTCTACCCCCGATTCTACCGATTCTACCCCCGATTCTACTAATTGAACGATTCTGCTGCGATTTGACTCGATTTTGAGTTCTGAGTCGTAGAATCGTGCGATTCTACGACTCAGAATCGCGATTTTAACAACCATGGTCTCAGGGTATGTGGCAATATGGCCAGGCATCTTCTCTAACTGATCTAGTTGAGACCGAGATAGCACTGCACTGAAGCCATCCAACACATGGTTGAAGGTGTAGAGATGGGTTGGGAAAACGCCATGATCGGACGATGACAAGGATGAAAGCATCGACATGTACCAATTATCATGATCTGAGTGTTGGGAAACGTGCTAGTTTTAAAAACTTTTCGAGGGATTTTAATTCATAGATCTTGATTCATTACATAGAGACAAGTTTTATGCAAAAATAAAACATGATGTATCATTCAATTAAAAGATTGAATACTTACATCAAGGTTTGAGTAAACCTTAGATCTCTCCTCTAAAGTGAATGTTCTCACTCATTGTACATCCCTTTTGTTAGACACCTTTTCCAAGGATCTCCATCTTCTTGGTAATGGTCTTGCCTTTAGGAATCACTCATAAGCCTCCATGAATGACCTTGGAAAATTAGGCTTGTGGGAGCCTCCATTAGATGAGAACACTAACCCTAATTTTCTAGAGAGAAAAAATGTATTCCTTTTTCCTTCTCATAAAATTCACACCCTAAAATATACATAAACCATGTATATATATAGGCAACATAAAGATAAGGAAAATGAAACTATAAATCTTTCTCAATCTCTAATTCACATATCTCAAATCTAATATGATTCCAATATCAAGTTGGGCTATGAGTGAGAATCCTTTGGGCTTATTATTTTTATTGGCTACAATGAATTAATAATTGACCCGGTCCATGGACCCAATTAAATTAATTCATAAATTAATTTCTACTCCACTAAAAGAAATTAATTGAACTCCAATTAAATAATAAATAACCTTTAAGTCAATATTGCACTTTGACCCCTCTATGCATAATTAGTTATCGGATAAATAATGCCATCAATCCGACTACTTAATTAATATATTTATTTTGGTACCTTTGATTATTTCTGGCTTGATCACAATAAAACATTTGTTTGACAAAAAATAATAATTTAAATAAATAAATATATAATAAATCATTTTGTCAAAAAACATACGAAGGCCTTCGAATTTACTTTGTGATCAACCATAATCCATACAAAATAAATACAAGTAGCAA